ACATATATATATATATATATATATATATATATATATATATATATATATGCGAAAATTTGTAATAATATCTATTTGCCACAGAAATTGGAGCTGGGAGTTGCAGGGGCTGTGAACTACTTAGGTCATAGCTGGTCACATAAATCCTAGTAGAGAGTTGCAGTAGCATCAGCTGGCAGCCAAAGCCGTACTAAGGGGATGCAGTTGTAGTGACTCATATAGTTTGTAGGTTGTAGTGGGGAGTTGTGAGAAGAGAACTTAAGAGTCTGCAGTTAGTCACCATAGTTTTGAGTTCGGCGCTCAAAAACAGTTCTTATGGGGGGTGTTGTTACTCCATCTTCGAGATACATCGGTGCACTGTATGTGGGGTACAACGTTCAATTGTCGATGGGGTGCAACGTTGCACTTTATGCGGGGTGCAATGTTGCACCGTATGTTAGGTACATTGCATGAATTCTTTTGTTTGAGATTGCATATTGATGTAAAAATAATTTAAAATAATGTGTCATGATAAATATGCATATAATATATATGCAATTGTTCGACATGTGCCAAATAGATGCCAAGTACATATAACAACCATGCATCCAATTTAAAAAATACACGTGTCCCCAATAGTATGTTTTCATTTTAAAAGTATATTATATAAAAAATTAAATGTATCCATTTAAATTTATATTTAACTTTAAAATATGTTCAATTTAATAAGCAGACAAGGAATTAAATAGAGCATCATTTGAAGAGCATGGGGCAAAACTATAAATTGAAATTAGAAAAATTCCTAAAAATTACTTTCCACTTAAAGAGATAAAATTTTGAATGTGAGCAAATCCGCCCCTCACTCCAGCTAATTCTACCCTCACTACATCGCATGGTGTTCATATTGATCTATTTATATCGAGAAATCGTAGTTAAGGGTCTTATTTGAATTAGGCCGAAAATATGATGAAAATAGCACTATTTTTACCTTTAATAGTTATTATTATCATTATTATTATAGAACAATGATTGTCAAGGTATTATTTTATGCAGATGAACTTCAAATTAAAAACCATGGGGAAGAAAATTTGAGTCTTTCATTCATCATTGTGCATTATTTTTTCATAAGATATTGGCCCACAATTTCATTAAAAAAGTAGAAAGTATGTTAAACTTTTGTATATATATTATTTGAAAACAAAATACACATTGATTTTATGGATCTCATGATCCTCACGAGTATAACTGCCCTTTTTTTTAATCTCTCTTATCCCCTCTCTCTCTCTCTCTCTCTCTCTCTCTCTCTCTCTCTCTCCTCCCTACACACTTTTTCTTATAAAACGACCTACCTTCCAAAGCACATCCCTCTTCTCCTCAAACACCCACATTTCCAAACATGGTAGAACCATACACGCATTTATCCATGGCTTACTTCCATGACCACTTCCTCCTCTCAAACCCATCTCTTCCTTCTCCTTATCTTCCTCTTTTACCTCCCAAGTCTATCAATAACTACCCATCCCCACCATCCTCACCTCCCATGTTGGAAGCTCTTCCACTTCTCAAAAATGAAAAAGATCTAGAAAAGAAGAACAACAAAGCAGTAAATTTCTTAATAAATGATGAAGCTGACCAGCAATTTGTGAACGATGTCGAGTCAGTGACTATGAAGCTTCACATAGGACTTCCAAGTCCTAATGCCGCAGATCTAATCTCAGCAACAGTATCATTAGCACAAGAAGAAGGAGAAAAGCAAGGAGAAGAGAGTGCAGTTGGGGAAGAGGCACAAGTTCTATTAGTAAGGTACCATGAATCTCTCATAGGGAAGCTTAACAAAGGACAATATTGGATTCCTACTCCTTCTCAGATACTACTTGGGCCAACACAGTTCTCCTGTCCTGTGTGCTTCAAGACATTCAATAGATACAATAACTTGCAGGTAAATCCAGTAATTAGAAATCATTAGTTTTTAACTTTCATACATCTATATTGGTCAGTTTGTATAGATTTTGACAATAGCTTGTTTGATGACTCTAACACCTCAATTTATATATACTTTAATTTTTTCAATCTTATATATGCGCTATGTTTTATATAAAAGAAGCTCCATACACTATATATATGCATAAGAATAAAGTTCTGCCCCAATGAAAAAAATTAACATTCGGAAAACGCCAATCACGCACAAAAATTAAAATAAAAAGCCACATATTCGTGTACTTGTAATTATTTATTAGGATGATTACATACAAAGCAACCGAAACATTACTATTTGCTAAAATCTAGCATCTAAGTGATGTTTTTGAAGATAAATTATTGAGGATTTGATAAGAATAAAAAATAGAGTTGGGATTTTATCAAAAAATTTTGATATTTGAGTGACTATTTGAAAAAATAGATGAAAGAAAGGTGTTAGATTTGTAAATAGCAATGTTTGGGGTTCTATTACATTGAAAATTTTCTTACAATTATTTCAGTCCAATGTATAACCCCATAGATCTTCTAATTTAGAGCTTTTTAGATTTTTTTTTTTTCTTAAGTTGCCATTATTATAAACTCGACCGAGTATTATAGATAGTGTAACAGTATCAAATTATATATTTAATAATTCCATGATTTACACAATAACTTCTAAATATTTATCTAGTTGGGACTCATATAATATTAATTTAAGATAAATTAAAATATTTCAATATGAGCAGGCATAAGAAATGGATTTAAACATTTTACTGCCTTTCAAACTCCTTGGGTCTGTGTTTGATCATCAATATCTATGGCTACAGTGGTGTTCTGAAAATGACCCTTAAATTGCTTTTGCAGTTTGTTTGGCACATTTAAGGTAAGCAATTTCCTCCTAGTATTTTGTACTCAGCACTTCCACACCACATGATGCCCTCTCTCTCTCTCTCTAGCTATTATGACTAATAAAAGTTGCAGTGAATATTCTTGTGATAATTGCTTTCTGTAGAGTGACCAGTAGAAGAAATAGCTAATGAAGAGTTCCATCTCATCATTTTCAATCAGGCCATCGGTTATTTTCAGCTAACTTGCCTGTCTGTGAAGGAAAAAATGCCTCCCTAAATTTACTGATTTAACAACTAAAACTTTGAATTTTATGAAATTTTTCTACGGGAAAGCAATTAATGGCTACATTATATTTTTTAAGAAAAATTTTTTATGGCTATTTTCTATTTTATTCTTTGTCTGAAAATTATAATTAAAATCTGGTCAAAGGTTTTGTTAGTAAATATAACTATATTAGTACGAAATGCAATTTTCACCGAACAAAACTATACTCTACTTATAAAACTGTACTTAAAACTCATCTTTCAAGTTTCTTACATCCATGGCTTATGGATCAATTAATATATATAGAAGTACTTCTACACCTCATATTACTATTGGTGCACATAAGTAATAGGCATAATAAACATTAAAAGCGGATTTGAAGGTTAACTTTATTTGGGGAGTTTATCATTAGTCATTTTCAGCTATTTACTTGGGTCAAACATTTTCAAATCATCTCAAACTAGTGAGCCTTCATCAGAACAAATTTGATATTAGGGCATCACCTCTTCTTTTTCTTTCATTTTAATTTGCTAATATAGTTTTTTGTTTAATTTTAAAGCAAAAAAAATGTGATTTTGTTAACAATATTGTTTCAAGTTTACACACAAAAAGGCTCAATCTAAATAAAGAAAATAATAAAATGGACTCATAAAAGGGAGCTTACTAAATAATAAATTGAACTCATAGAAGGCTCATTATTGTTTCCGCTCCACTCCGCTGGCTCGCTCCGTTCCGCTCCAACATCTGTCCTTTATCCGGTATATGAGTCATACCTAACAATAAGTCTATCAACGTTGCGTAAGACGTCGGCAAATGTAACTTTAACATGTTGTTTGTCACCCAAATTGTAGTTTTCCACAAAAACAATATCACTGCCCTTATATATAACATTCAATATAAATGTATAAATGTAGTATTTCTCATGTCTTCATATTTTACTAATTTACTTCACGAAAATAATCTAAAGATATGTATATATTTTTTGTTTTTGCCAAAAAATCAATTTGACAGATGCACATGTGGGGTCACGGCTCACAATACAGAACTGGCCGGCAATCCCTCCGTGGAATCCAACCCACAGCAATGCTGAAGCTTCCATGCTACTGCTGTTCTCCAGGCTGCAGGAACAACATTGACCATCCTCGAGCTAAGCCACTAAAGGACTTCAGAACTCTCCAAACACACTACAAAAGAAAACATGGCCTAAAGCCCTTCATGTGTCGCAAGTGCAGCAAGGCCTTTGCAGTCAGAGGTGATTGGAGAACCCATGAGAAGAACTGTGGGAAGCTATGGTACTGCATTTGTGGATCTGATTTCAAGCATAAGAGATCTCTTAAGGATCATGTCAAGGCATTTGGTTGCGACGGACATGCTGCTTGTGGGGTGCATTGTTTTGATGGGGATGAGGAGTTGGAAGAAGATATTAATTAAGAGATGCATGTGATTACATGTGTGAATTGGATATATTGTTGAATGTTAACAAATATGTGTAATTATTAGTAAACTATAGTTGTGTATGGATTCATAAAGCCTAGTTATCTCCACATGCACTGAGAATTTAACAGCCTTTCAGCCCAAGCAATTTGGCAACCAGGGACGTGCTGGCAAAGCAAATTGGTCAGCAGCTAGCTCCCCGTCTGTTATTTAACTTTATGTCTATGATGAATATTTTGAATTTCGCTTTTTTGTAAAAAAAATAATGGCTTTATGATTTATATATAATATTTGAGTTTTTTCTTTCTTGATAAATCGTTTTACACTGTTGAAGTGAAAAACCAATGTAGTAATTTCTTGTCCCTTAGTCAACTCAAGGCTGTTCTTAATGAGCCCCATTGTACTAAAATAGGTCGGATAAGGCTACGTTGGACAGGTCTAGCTAGCTTAAGGCCACCACCTAATTATCATAAATGAAATTGAGTTATGATTAGAATGAATAAAAATTTATTAGAATAAATTATTTAGAACACTAGTTAGCAGGCTGAGGTGCCTGATGGATCAAGGTTAATCCTAATTTTGTCAACAGACAAAGCTAAGTGTGGTGGGCTAGATTAGGATTAGATGGACATGATGGTAACAGAAAGATGTTAGAAGTCTGATGGGTTTTCTACTAATTTAATGATCATGGGCTTTAAGATAATTGACCTAGTTTGACTAGGTTTAACCAGAGTGGGCCATTGTTGTTGGGGTGGATCTATGACTAAATCATTAGGATATTTAGTTTGTCCATATTTGAGTTCAGATTTATCATCACTAAGTAAACCTAGGTTGATCACCTAAGTAACTCTTCAGGCTTTTTATTGGTCAATTAGGCTAAGGGATAATTTAAGAATATAATAGATATAGCCTATGAAAGTCTAAATTATTTGTGCTATAAAGCTGATTAAGTACACCTCAAACCCATCCATGGGTTATTGGGCAATTAATCTTAATTGGTCCTAGTGTCAACTGTGGGCCATATGGAGATAATTATAAGCCATAATGCCAACTGAGGGTTACGAATTACAAAATAATTATTCTCTATTTTTTTACTTTTCTTATTATAAAAATAGCTAAGAATTAACATAAATAACACTGAAATATGAACAGTGATAACCAATATAGTGACGAAGGTTAAAAGGAGACAGAGCATATGAGAGATTCAAAAGAGAGATTAAGAGAATATTCTTTTTAGAGTTACTCTATAATAAGATAAATAGAGAAGTGATGCAAAATTGCACATTAATCATAAATTTTTGGCGGACCTGGCTATGAAAAAATAGAAATTCAGCCGACTTAGCTCGTCCTAAGCCCACATTCAAAGCCCGTCCTAAGCCCACATTCAAAGCCCGAATAAGTCTGAGCAGTGCTAAGCATCATCCCCCCCCCCAAAAAGTGACATATATGTAGTTAAATAGAAATTGGAGTCCAATTGTTAGATATGTAATTAAATAGAAATTGATCAATGGTATGTATGTAAATACTTTATTTGTTTTATTTTACTCAACTCCTATGTATTTACATATTGATATGTTCTCTATTTAAAATCTTACATATTCCATGTGTATGTACTTGCAATTATTCATTTAAATGTATAAGAAAAAATTCGTGCACAAAAAATCAATTTAAAACTCTTGTCACATATCTTTTCAATTGTTCATATTACAAAAAAAAATTAGTATTTTAAATCAACAGCGTGATTCGAGAAAAAATATTAAAATTTTTATGAAGTATTTATTTTTTATAATAATAATAATAATAATATATTATATAATCAATTGATTAAAATTTTAAGCTTATATTCATTTTTTAAAAAAAAATAATAATTTAGATACTCGTTCAAGTTAAATTTAAGCAAAATTATCCCGACTTACTTTGTTTTCTAATTAAGGGAAATGAGAATAGTTTTGACATGAAAATTTATTTTTCTTTTAAGCCCCACAAGCGGCTTATGCCCATTTAATGGGCGAGCCTGACTATGAAATTATAAATAAAAATTGGGCATAAGCCCGGCCCGAGCCCGCTTTGACTTGTCAAAAAGCCCGACCCACCCCATGCCCAGGTCCAAATATAACGTCTAAATATAAAATAAAAGTGAATAAATAGAAACACCTCCTCCTCCTCTTTTTCCTCCTCCTCCTCCTCCTCCTCTTACATGGCACTCAGAGGTCACTTGTCATGGTGCACGCCATGTTGCAGGTGCAGCTGTACAATAGTGGCCTCGAGCCTCTCAACTCTCAGATGCTTGTCACGCAATTTAGTTTCAAATTTTGAATATAACTCCTCGGTGATTACAACCACACACATGTGTAAGTTCATCATCAATAGATGACGACGACCTCTAACCCTGACGTAAATGGAATTGCTCTGCTTAATAGACAAATTTCTGAGCACCCAAGTTATAGACCCTCTCATTCTTCTTCCCAACAGCCTTCCTCCAAATCTCAAAATACAAGTGATCAGGCTATGACCAACCGTTGCTACTACCAAGACCTACCAAGTTTTGACTCTTGGTCTCCCTCAAGCACTCATTGTCCTCCTCAAGAATAAAACTAAAGGATCTTGAGCATGTTACATAAGACTGTAAGTAAATTGGAGAAATAAAAATATTGTTTTATTTGCTTGGACCAGCTGAGATATGCCATTGGCCCATTATTGGCTCCACAGGTGTCGATGTGTCAGGGCATATAACTCGTCTGCAGTGGGACCTTGTCCAAGCTTTTGCCTCGCTTAACATGTAAAAAGAATAATTATCAAATAATTACATACATGAATTGCTGAGTATTGAAGAAATCTTACTAAATTTCTGTGGTGTTCGGCGTGCGAGACTAAACCTCCAATGTGTAATGAGGCACCCATGCCCCCACACTCGATTATCTGGTTATGTCAGGTAATCTCCTTCGTATTAACATACTTCGAAGTGGACAACAATCCAGATGACTCCACCCAGACAACTAGGCCTATCCCGTTAAGCAACTCATTCTTCTTCCAAATAACAGTAAACATTTCGCCCAAGTGATGCATGACACGTCTCTCAAAATTCTTGTGGATCTGATGATAATGCTCGGGAACCTGACAGAAGAGCCTCTATAAAAAAAAAAAATTGAAAATACAGGTTTCAATCTTAGATCTATGTCAGACTCATCAACATATGTCATCTAAGCTACTGTTGATGGTTTAGTTGACGTTCATCTTTTTTTTCATGTTTTGTCTTCTTTTGAATGTTTAGGATGTTTATAGTCAGTTGACCATAACATTTTCTAACTCTATAAAAGAAAAGAAGGTTCAAAAGGTGGATCCAAGGCTACCAAAACAGCTTATTTAATTTATAGCAACCCTGCAAGACAGTGTTAGCACAACCTAATAACATATAAAGTAAATAAAAAAACAACAATTTATCTTAGCGTCATAGCAAAACAGATTTAGAATGTTTTATCACAATTTAACGTAAGACAAATAAATGCATCTATTTAATTTGATTATTAATGATTTAATTATTTTATTTTAGGATAACCCGGTCAAGATGCCCATGACTTTCCGTCGTCATGGTTGTCAGTTTCCCTAATCTATTTAACCCATAGGTAATTAAACCTACTCCAACAAGAAGATTATTATCAACAATCATGGGTTGTATCGTCCAAGAGATCTTTGTAGACCCCAATCACAGAGTTAAAGTTTTGTTTGATGAGCTTTATTCATTATGGTTTCATTAAGTCTTGGTGTCCTTTTCAGATTTTAAGAGGTTGAAAATCTTATGTTGCTTAAGACTTCTTAGCCAATTTAATTTTTTTTTAATTTATATTATTTTATTTTGGGACAACCCGATCAAGATCTCATAGTTCCGTCCTCCCAGGTTTGTTAGAGTTTGTGGTTTGATTTGTCACAAGTGACGGGAAGGATTTTTGTTAGTAGTCATCGGTTGCTTTCTTCAAAGTTCCTTCATAAATCGGGGCTTGTTTTATAGTTAAAGTTTTAGTTTTAGTGACTTTTACTATGTGATTTTTATGACACGTCGAACCACATGACGAGGACCAAGAGCACCAGTTTGTGTCTTGTACTTGTACCTTAATTTTGAATTTATACTAATGTATAGAATTATAATCGGACATGTATATGCGGAATCAGCCCGCTTTTACTGTTTTCCTTGGAGATGTTGTCGACCTAACGACACTGACCCATTCTTATATTTTGTTTGGTTTGCCTTGACTTTTGTTTTATAACAGCTTTATTTTCACATTTCTTTCTATTTACTATTTATCTGGGATTGATCACGAAAAATAATCTAGGCTTATAAAGGACTTTAAAATTCTAAAGTTTTTACAAAATCTTAATAATAAAATACTAAGATTAATTAAAATTTAAGGTTAAAATATTTTGAATATTTCAAAACCTGCACTTTACTTTTTTGCATGACCTCCGAGTTGGTTATAAAATGGGCTGCATGCATGGACATATCACCCATCATGATTAATAGGGTCTTCATGACATAGAATTGTAGTAGACAACTACATTATATGCATATATTGGAGAATTCCCCGCTCTTCTCCATACCTACCTTGGTCAAGCATAAATGTTTACCTAAAATGTTGTCTAGTACGACTACGGTGTTTGAGACATTCCTGACCCAAAGGGGGTATAAATCCTTTGTGCGAAAAGTTTCAAGCTTTATAATTGAACCCCATTGTCTCTTATTTTTAGCTTCAGCTCTGTCATTTCTCTTGACAAGCGTAAGCCTCATCACTTTGAACTTTACCTTTATAAAGTCATAGGAACTAGAGTTCTTTCCTTTGACTTTAGAGCTGCCGAGACTTCCTTGGACGACACAATTCACGGGCCCTAATTGTACATTATTAAGTCATAAAGATTGTACTGTAATCAGAATCTTGAATTTTCAGAAAGGCCAAAAGAGGTTATGATTCAATGGATTGTATGTGATCTAATCAAATATAAGTGTTACATTAGATGAGGACTATATCTCAATAGTATATAATAATAATAATATTTAGGACTTTTGAGTTCTCATAAAAGAGTAACTCAAAAATGTCACTTGTTAAAATAAAAAGACACATATCTTGGAGACTAGGGAAGACAAAGCTTATAACCTCCATATTATTAGAGGGAGATTGTCTAAGCTTGACTCATAATAACCTACACGGTATGTGTCTTAAGGAGAAATATTGATAGTGCGGGTTTTATTATTCC